GCTGCTGAGTGCTGCAGGCAAAGTGGGCAGTGCTTGGAAGCCAAATGCTGGAGATGTAGAAAGGTGACCCTTCTACTGCCCATGATGGCCTTAATGCATTTTGCGGCTCCTCAAAGGGCACAACAGCAGCAAGCGTTGGCACTGCCTGAGTGCCAGCCGGGCATGGCAGTGGTGGCACCTCAGGGCACCAAGCTACATGCACCTGGAGGAGAGAGGGGTCAAAGCATGAGGTTGGGCACAGAAATCACCGAGATACACAGGGCAGGAACTGACTGTTCCTGTAGCACTAAGGGTTAACGCTGCCTTGGTCTGGGTCCAGCAGCGCTGGGCTGATTGGGCTGTGGGAAACTCTGAGGTTTCGGTTGTGCAACGCCAAGGGCGGAAAACATCACTTGGTGCAAACATGATGTCCATGTCCAGGTCACAGGGCGGATCCCGAGTGGCAGCTTGGCGCCTGGACCCTGAGCTTCCCCATGCCTCCTCGGCTGGGAACAGGGCTGCTGGGACAGGATGGGATGGGATGGAGCAGGATGGGATGAAAGGGATGGGACAAGTGCCTTGTGGAGTCTGTCCAGGCAGGGCTGAAAGCAGCAAGCAGGGCAACTGCGATCCCTGCTCCCCCACAGCTGCCTTGGTTTCAGTCCCAACCTGTTCCTGATGCTCTCTCCCCCCAGTCCCTGTCTCTCCCACAGGTGTTTGATCCCAGATTCAAGGAGGGCACAGCTGCTGTGGGGCAGACACCTGTTGCTGTGGTCCTTTCAGCCTCTCCCTCTTTCCCCTCCTGCTGCTCTCCCCTCTTCCCACCGTATCTGCGCTGGCTGCTGTCAGAGCTCCAGCCCAGAGCTATAGAAGACCGAGAGCATCCCGCTAAGGCAGGTAGCATTCAAACAGTAGGCAGCAAAAGTGTAGCTCCATCCCAGGCTCTGCCGAAAGCCCCATGCATCCCAAGCGCTGTGGGAAGGAGGGGTGCTGGGAGTCCCGGGGAGAGGTTGCTGCAAGAGGATGGTGAGGGCAGGCCTGGGGCTGAGTGCTGCCGGCAAAGGACAGCGTGCAGGGCCGAGATCCGGCTGGTGTCTGGGGATGTGTGGGCATCAGCATCGGAATCGCCGTGAGATGTCCCACGGGCTCCGGCCGACTGGCCGGGCATGGCTGAAAAGAGCCAGCCGCCGCTTTCAAATCGCCCGTTACGGTAATCCATCCCGAGGATCCACTTTTTCCTTTTTCAACCCAGAAGTTTGCAGCCTCACCTCTGGGTGGCATCCACGGACGTTTGGATCGAGCTTCTGCTGCTCCCTGCCTCGTGAGCTGTGCAGGGGGATGAGCTGCACTTCCATCTTACTTTGGGCAACTGAGAGTGCAAGCCTCTGCCATGCCATTAAATGCACTTAGAGGGGGATGCTGGTCTATAAACTTAGTGGAAACAAAACAAACAAAAAATCTAACACAGCAATCTTATCTTAGTAGAAAAGAAAGACAGGTTTGTGTTTGTTTGTTTGTTGTTTTTTTTTTTTTTAAAGCAGACTTAGGGGCTGGAGCTGCACTGGAGAGGAAGATCAGCTTCCCTGCCCTGCCCACCCAGCACTTCCATTTCTTTCCTCTTCTGGGAAATGCTCCCTCATTGCACTGATTATTTTTAAGACCACTCTCCTCTCACTCATCACCACGGGGGTCAGCTACAGACATCTAGGTTTCCATGAATGCAGGCTGTCTGCCCATTATCTCCCACACCTGCCAGGGCTGGGCTGTGAACCCATCTGAGGCTAATTACCCTGAAACTGAAGCCTGTCTGAGCCCTGGGCCTCAGCCCAGCTGGAAGACAGGCCAGACCAGTGCCCAGTAAGATGCTGTGGGATTCACACGGACGTCTTTGGGCTGAAGCTGTAACAAAATTTGCTGTTTTCCCTGTCCCAGATTTCCTCTTCCAGAAGGAGCTTTTTGCTGCCGGAGATACAGGTGAGCACGAAGAGCCATGGCACGGCCCTTTCCCAGGGCTCACAGCCACGCTGGACAGACGCACGGACCGCCACATGTGATGTTCTTCCTTTCTGTCTCCATTCTCCTTGCAGACCCCATGCACAACCTCTCGGCACAGCCCTGGCAGGTGAAGATGGCCAACCTGACCTACGACAACGTCACCCTCAGCAACCGCTCCGAGGTGGCCATCCAGCCCCCCACCAACTACAAGACGGTGGAGCTGGTTTTCATCGCCACGGTCACCGGCTCGCTCAGCCTCGTCACCGTGGTGGGGAACATCCTGGTGATGCTGTCCATCAAGGTGAACCGCCAACTGCAGACTGTCAACAACTACTTCCTCTTCAGCCTGGCCTGCGCCGACCTCATCATTGGAGTCTTCTCCATGAACCTCTACACGGTCTACATCATCAAAGGCTACTGGCCACTGGGGGCCGTGGTTTGTGACCTGTGGCTGGCCCTGGACTACGTGGTGAGCAACGCCTCAGTCATGAACTTACTCATCATCAGCTTTGACCGGTACTTCTGTGTCACTAAGCCCCTGACGTACCCGGCCAGGAGGACCACCAAGATGGCGGGGCTCATGATCGCAGCCGCCTGGATATTGTCCTTCATTCTCTGGGCCCCTGCCATCTTGTTCTGGCAGTTCATTGTGGGCAAGAGGACAGTCCACGAGAGGGAATGCTACATCCAGTTCCTCTCCAACCCGGCGGTGACCTTCGGCACGGCCATCGCTGCTTTCTACCTGCCCGTGGTCATCATGACGGTGCTGTACATCCACATCTCGCTGGCCAGCAGGAGCAGGGTGAGGAGACACAAGCCCGAAAGCAGGAAAGAGAGGAAAGGCAAGTCCCTCAGCTTCTTCAAGGCTCCCCCAGTCAAACAGAACAACAATAACTCCCCCAAGAGGGCCGTGGAGGTGAAGGAGGAGGTGAGGAATGGGAAGGTGGATGACCAGCCCTCTGCACAGACAGAGGCCGCTGGCCAGCAGGAGGAGAAGGAGACCTCCAATGAGTCCAGCACAGTCAGCATGACCCAGACCACCAAAGACAAGCCCACAACGGAAATCTTGCCAGCAGGACAAGGACAGAGCCCAGCCCATCCTCGGGTGAACCCGACTTCCAAGTGGTCCAAGATAAAAATCGTCACCAAGCAGACTGGGACCGAATGTGTCACCGCCATCGAGATCGTCCCAGCTAAGGCAGGAGCCTCTGACCACAACTCCCTGTCCAACAGCCGCCCTGCCAATGTCGCCAGGAAGTTTGCCAGCATCGCCAGGAGCCAGGTGCGGAAGAAGCGCCAGATGGCAGCCCGGGAGAAGAAGGTCACCCGGACCATATTTGCCATCCTGCTAGCCTTCATACTCACATGGACTCCTTACAATGTGATGGTCCTCATTAACACCTTCTGCGAGACCTGCGTTCCGGAAACCGTGTGGTCCATCGGCTACTGGCTCTGCTACGTCAACAGCACCATCAACCCAGCCTGCTATGCCCTCTGTAATGCCACGTTCAAGAAAACCTTTAAGCACCTCCTCATGTGCCAGTACAGGAACATTGGCACGGCCAGGTAAGCTGGTGCTCAGGGACCACTTCAGCAACGTTACGGCAGTCCTCCCCTTCGTCTCATTCACCTGGAGAGGTCCTCTGCTCCCTCTCACAGAAGCGCAGACTGCGAAGTGCTGGCAGGTGGTGCCCTATAGTGCTGACAAAAGTCCACGGCACCTCTGGGCTGCAGCACATCCAGCCACCCTGAGCCCAGGGACTCACTGAAGGGACAGGGAGGAAGGCGAGCTGAGGCCAGATGTGCTAACCAGAGCCCTCCCAGCTTCCTGTCCTGGATGTATTGGCCGACAGGCATCAGTACTCCTCATCAGACTGGCTGCCTCTTCTCCCTGTGGCTGACTGTCTCCCGGCTGTCCGAGCTTGTTTGCACACAAACAGCCTAACGCTGGGTGCTTTCAATAGCCTTGTAGACTATTTATTACCCAAGATGAAAAGAAACAGGCGGGCCCAACTTTTGCCAGCCACTTTGGACTTGGATGGCTTAGGTGTGCGCACAGAAGGCCCTCGGACTGTCCACTCATGAGGTTGGGGTTGTGCCCAAGCAGCAGTGGTGAGCTCCCTCCTTGTCTCAATGTCACCTCCTGGCCTAGGGACCTGTGGGGACAGTGTGGGACACTGTCCCACCATGGTGGCCCCAGGGAGGACACAGGAGATGACTGCTGAGCTTTGTAAATGGACGTAACCCCACAACCTCTGCTGTTGCAGAGTCCTCAGCATGTGGGGTCCCACCAGCCCCTCCTGGCCCCGTGCGTGCAGCCCAGGCCCCATCGTGCTGTTGCCTCACTTCTGCCAAGGCTGGGGCTCTGCTGAAATGTGGGGACACTGCCATGTCTGTTTGTCTGTCTCACTCCATGCCAGGGCAATGCCGTGCAACCTGGAGAAGGGCTGCCCTGCCCCCCTCACTGCTGCTGCCTTTAGGATCCTGACATAGCATTACCCACATTGCCTGGCGGGTTGGTTTTGGGTTTCAGAGAAGTGTTACAGCTACAGCTGACCCCCAGCAAATAAAGACCTCGGACCAGAAACCAAAGGCCACAGGTTGAGGATTCCATGTGGTGTTGTCCTCAGCATCCCATGGGCCCTGATAGGGACAGTGAGTGCAGACACAGATTGTTCACGGTAACATTCCTGTATGCGCCTTTGTCACCCACCGCAGGACAGGGGTGGGAGCAAGAAGAGGGCAGCAGCCTGAAGTGCTGTTGAGATGAGGTGCTGCTGTGGGGCTGATGTGGGTGGCACCCAGGCTGCTGTCCCCAGGCACACAGTAACTGCTCTGCTCCCTCTGGTCCCAGGGGATTGGTAGACACTCTGGTGGTGCTATGAACCCCATGATGGCACCGCCTCCCCACAGCATCACTCTGAGCAGAGACGGATGTGAAGGTGAAGGGCCAGATCCCCTTCCTCTCCTGGGGTCCCAGCCCTGCACCGCTGCACAGGGATGTCAGGCAGGATCTGACTCAGTTATGTTTTTTTAAAAATTTTATTGGAAAAGAAACCAAAACCCATTTCCCAAAAGAGGTGAGAGCATCCAGCCGGCACCACTCAAAGCAATGGTCACTATGGCTGCAGCAGCCCCCAGGGCAATGGCAGCAGCTTCCCAGGGCCAGTTGGTCTGCTCTCAACAAAACTAATGATTAAACAAGGCATCTTGGTGGCAGAGGAGGTGGGGAGAGGAGGAGGAAGAGGAGGAGAAGGAGAGGAAGGCGGCTGGAGTGTGGCTCCTTGTGGTGGGAGAGGCACATGTGTCCGGGACCGATGAGGACATCGTCCACCCCACTCTAGTCCTTCCCCTTGCCCTTCTTAGCTGCACCCAATGACCATGGAAGATGTGTTAGCATTATTGCAACCACCAGCAGCTCCCTGCCCAGCTCTGACCCTGAGCGCTGCCTGGGGGAGCTGAGGACTCACCTTTGGCCTTGGCCTTCATCTTGGCGGCACAGGGCTTGCTCACATAGACCACCTCCTCACACTGGGCATTGTACAGCGCTTTCTTCAGGATGCCTGAGCGTGTTTTCACACCTGTCTGTGCACTGCACCCTCCCCAGCTCTCAAACTTGTACTTGCAGTCAGCTGCAGGAAGGGAGAGGCATTAGGAACGTGTGGCCCCAACGCAGCCCCAGTCCCCCCACAGCCACCTTCGCACCTCCAAACTTCTTCTTCCAGTTGCAGGGGATCTTGCACTTGAGCTTCCTGCTGTCATCGCCGCAGGTGCCCTCGCGGTAGCCCAAGCCGCAGTCCTTGCTGTTGGGGACGCAGGGCCCCCAGCGCCAGTCCTGGCACTCGGAACCCTCCTTCTTTGCCTTCTCTGCAAGGGAGGCGGCGGCTGGGAGATGGGGCGGCACACCCAGACCTCCCCGTGCCCACCCGGGCGCCCGCTCACCTTTCTTGGCTTTGGCAGCCTCAGCAGTGGCCGCCAGCAGCAGCAGTGCCAGGAGGAAGAGGAGGCCCCGGGGCTGCATCCTGCCTGGAGTGGGGAAGGGAGGGATGGGCACCGCGCATCGCCCCGGGCCCCAGGAGCACAGGGGCTGCCACGGTGCCTCGGCCCGGCCCCCGCGGAATCCGGGGGCGGAGGGGGGAAGAAAGGCATGGAAAGCGAACCCCCTGCCGCGAGGGGCCTGGAGCGGAGCCAGCGGAGTTCGCACAGACGGATACGCTCAGCGTGGGAGCTCGAGGAGCGCTTTAATGGGAGAGCGGCGCCCACTGCCGGCACCGCGGCTCCCAACGCACCTCCGTGCGTTTGCCGGGCGGGTGAGTGCGTGTGCACGCGTAAGCGCTCATACATGTGCACGCGTGCACCCAGCTCTGAGTGCTGAGCGCTGCCCCCTTCGCTGGAAGCAGTCCCGGCGCACGGAACGCAACCTTCCACCGCCCGTACCCCTCGCCCCGGCCCGGCCCCGTCCCCATCCTTCCTCGCTGCCCCGCGCGGACTGACCCCGCATCAGAGCCGAAGGACGCGCCAGGTGATGCTTTAAAAGAGGATCCCCGGCCCTTCCTGGGCACAGTGCCCCGCTCCCGCCCCCCGGCACCCGTCGGCCTGGCCGAGAGCGCTAGGGGCTCCGAGCCCCCTCCGTCTCCCCCAAGGCCGGGTTCTTCGAGGAGCCTTTCTGCACCCATCCCTCCGCCGTCCCTCGCCGCGCACCCCGCACGGCGCAGCCCCCCGCTCCCAGAAGCGTTCCCGCACCCCCTCCCCACCCTCAGGGTGCGCCCCGCTCCCCCGTGGAGCTGAGAGGGGGTGGCCCCCGCCCTGCCCCGCGGGAACCCCGGCGCCCCCCGAGCCCCTTCCCTCGGCGGGGCAGGGGGTGCGCCTGCGGAGCTCCGTGTGCCCCCACCCCCCCACTCACCTGCGGCGCGGAGCGGCGCCGTTGCCTTTTGTGTGGCGGCCGCGTGCGGAGCCCCGCGCAGCGCAGCACAGCGGCCCCTGACGTCGGGCCCCGCCGGCAGCCCGAGGTGGTCGGAGCCCAAACTCCCCGTGCAAGCCCCTCCTCTGCCCCCCGGCAGCACGGCCAGCCACAAAGGCTGGCGGCGGGCCGAGGGGCGGCCCTGGGGGGCTGGGGGAGCTGCTCAGCGGGGAGGGGCCGCGCGGTTCGGCTCGGCTGTCGGGGGCTCGAGCCCCTACGAGGCCGTCGTTGCGTCCCTCTGTACCCGCGTGCGAGCGTTGCAGAGCGGTCCGGGGCTCCGAGAGCCCTTCGGCGCTGAGTCCCGGGGCTCTGCGGATCGCAGGCGGAGCCCCGTCGGTGCCTCCTTCGCCCTCTGCCCTCATGGACGGATTCACGACCATCTCTCCCCACGGGCGAGCAGGGCTAACGCGAAGCTCTCCTCCAGCCCCCGGCCACGGCGGCCGGAAGAAGGGGCTGAGGTGGGCAGCAGAGCCATTTTGTGCCCCTTCCCCAGAAGGAAAGCCGCTGGGAGTGGGCTGCGGGCTCCTGGGAGCTGCTTCGGCGCCAGGAATCACAAACGGCAGGCAGCCGGGGGCTGGGGGTGAGGAGTGCCCCAGCACGGAGCCCCGGGTGCAACGGGGCTGTGCGGAGCGGGAAATGGTTCCTGCGGCCCCAACCGGCAGCAGGGGGCTGCGTTTGCAGGAAGGGGTCTCACACTGAAGGAAGGAGGGAAAAGAGGGAGAGCAAGTGCGACAAACACCGCAATCGCACAGCGTGTGGGTTGGTTACCTGCCCTCTGTGAAGCTGCAGGATTGGTGGTGCTGGTGCAGGTATCCCAAGAGGCAGCAGCCTTCCTCATCCTTCGCTCTTGTAAGCGGGCAGCAGCCTTCCTGCTGCAGCTGATCCCACACTGCATCCCTGCAGTGCCGGTGCCCCCTGCTGCCCCAGAGGCTGAGGCCCAACCTGGCTCACCCCAGCCACGTGTCACCCACCCCACGCCCACCGCAGCGGAAAGAATTAAAACGTCCACTTTTTTTTTTATTTCAATAGCAAGAAACAACAACATCCAAACAGTCAAAAGTCAAAAAGCGATGGGAGCACGGGCTCACGCCAGGCCCCGGGCCTGCTAGAGCGGGCACTCACAGAGTTACAAAAATACAGTCCTACCACAGCGTCTGGGAACACCGAACTGGGTATTGCACAGAACCCCTGCCCCAGTGGGCAGGGCTACCAACACCCCTCCGCCTCTGCCTACACAGCAGCCAGGCTCAGAATTGCACAGCAACTCAGCTCACGTGTGGGGCCTGGCGGGGAGGGGGACAGTGTGTCTCTGAACTACCTGTACAAAAACGGGGATGTACAAACTGGGGAGAAGGGGGAGCTGGACCCTAGCTGGGGCAGCAGTCTGCACCTTTGGGAAGATGACAGCGTTTGTCCACAAGTGAGCAGCGCTGATGGGAACTCCTGGTGCTGCTGGAGCATCGCCATCGGAACAGTGATGATATTAATCACTGAACTCCAGCACCAGCCTCGTGCTGCTCTGGTCCGGCTGCCCCATAGCCTCAAAGGTAACTCTGCCCCAACCTAAAGCCTGATCAGCATTGTGGTTCTCTGTGGTGTCATGATATGTTTTTTTCTTCAGTATTTGTGGGGATGTGAGCAGTGTCACCCAGCACAGCCACAGTCAGGTGCAAGTGCACACTGGGGATGCCCCGGCCTCCTCTCCTGGGACCCCACCTGTACGCTGCAACCCAGACCTGCTTTGCACACACCTCCCGCTTGAATGCACCAATGCCAACAGTCGTCTGCCCTCCCCCTCTGCCGGCACCCTGCAGCCAGGGACTGCTGCTCTGCAAAAAGTGCATGCATGAGGGCTGCTGTGCTACCTCAGCACTCATGGCCTCTGCAGGGCAGACGGTGCCTCGTGTCCCGTGGCAGATGGTGCCCCAAATGCCATCCTGTCACATGCATGACTCGGGGCTGGGGTCCTGATGCTTCCTATGCATCCAAATCCCTCTTTCTGCTAAAACCTGTGGAGGTGTGCTGGCAGCCTGCTGGCAGCCTACCCAGGGAGCTTGTGCCTGGGCTGGGGGATCTCCAAGGATTCCCTGCAGGACCCTGAGTCTGATTTGTGGGGATGGCAGAAGCCATATGCAGCGGTCGCGTAGTTTGGGAGCACGGGGAGATCCCTGAGAGCAGCACAGGCCCAGCACTGAAAGCAACTGCCCCGCATCCAGCTGTGCCAGTCCCAGATGCTCTGAGGAAGGGGTGGGTACACATTCTCTAACACAAGGGACTTTTCTCCTGCCACAGAGCCCAAGGACAGTCCCAGGCCAACAAGAGAGAACAGGACTTGGAGGCAGTACATCATGGTGCTTCTTCTGGACAAGGTGAAGTGCCTAATGGAGCGTTACCACTAGCAGGCAGAGGGGTGAGCAATGGTGTCCTGCACGGGTCATAGGTAAGAACCTGCTGGGGGCACTACCACTGCTCCCCTGTGTGAGGGTGACAGATTGCTACATCCCTGCCTGCCCCAGTGGGGCTCTGGGATGGAGCCCATCTGGAGCGGGGAATATGGTTGATGAGAGCCAAAGGGGGACACACAAAGAGCAGGGCTTCAAGTCCCAAATACCCACTGTCCTCATAAACAGCGTCTCAGCCCAACCTGGGGCACAGCCCTGCTGTCTCCATCTCCTCCAGCGACTGGGCTGACACATAAGGAGGGCTGGGCCAGACTCACAGCTCTGCCAGGTGCCGCCCTCTGTTCGTCCTGCCCAAGCTGGTTGGGCTAAGGCACGCTGAGCGCTACACAGCTGTCTCCTGGTCCTCCCGCTGGATCATCTGGTAGTGCTGTCGATTCTCGAGGTAGGCAGCCAGGTCGGGGTCATTGGCTTTCTCAGCCCTGTGCTTAGGGGTGTCTCCCTGCAGAGGGAAGGTAACACATCAGTGCGCTGAGCACCGGAGGAGACAAAGGCTGCTCCCCATGACACGCTTTTCCCCGGCGCTGTCGAGGCAGGAGGGAGAGGGTGAGGAATGAGGGGTATGTCTGGGGAATGCCCGAGAATACCAACCCCCCTTCCCTCTTGCAGCCTCACCAGTGCTCCTGCTCCCGCAGGAGGATCGCATTTCACCAGCTTATTGCAGCCATCTGGACTGTGTCCACTAATGAACTCCCGCACTCCATAAAAAGCAAATCTGTTAACGGCTCGCCGCTACGTCTCCTCTCCCCCTCCCTCTGCCTGCCCCTCGCTCCTTCTCATTAATGCCTGGGCTCCGCAGTGCCGAACAAACCCTCTGCTGAGAGAGGCCACGGAAACCTGGCACTCTGCCGCTGCCATTGAAAAGCGGCCCCCGAAGGGAAGCGATGCTGCCCAGCTCATCTCACGGCACACAGCAGGACCACGGTGACTGAGTGGGGTGCAGGGGTCCCCATGACAACCCACAGACGGATTTCTTCACTGTGAACAATGGTCAGGCTCTAGGAGCCTCCGCTGTGTGGGTACGGTCATGAACAAAAGCTTGAGCACATCCCACTGCAAAGTTGCACTAGAGTGGGACTACAAAGGGGGCACCCACAGGCACATTTTTCTCTTACACACTCGCACAGAAACTCCTGGGACACTCCTGTACTTGCTGCCAGGCATGCAGCCACCAAGAAACCTATCGTGCATACACACACCATGGCATGCCAAGAAGTGCTGAGCATGCAGGGGGCTAGAGGCTGTTGTATGCCTCACTGCTTGGCTCTCCTTGGGGGCCTCCGCTCTGCAGCCACTGAATCTAAGCAAGCATTGAACAAAGAAGAAAAAAAAAGGAGGAATAGAGTTTCTTCCTCATCCCCCTGCAGAAGCCTTGGTCCAGCACCACCTCCTGCCTGGATCTGCAGCCTGAAACTGGAGCTGCCAGGGCCCCTCTGCACAGACAGGCTGATGTGCGCTACCTGATAAGGGCCAGCCTCCCTCAGGGTCGTGAGTGCACGACCATGCTGTCCCCAGCTGTGCTACATATAGGTCTGCCAAAGGTTCTACAGCAGAGTTTCTGTGGAGGCTGGTTCTTGCCTGTGCAGGCAGGCTGTAACCTGGGGCTAAACAAGGTCAGCACCATGAGCAGGTGGGTCCCCAAAGAGCTACAAAGCCAGGCATGCACTCACACAGGCACATGCAAGCCCTGTTCCCTGGGGCAGGCTGTCATTCCTGAGCTGGGCTTCTTTCTTTGCTGGCAGGTTGAGGCTGTTCATCAGGCAGAGCATCCCATAGTTCTTCTCAAAGGGCAGAGAAGGGCCGTGCCACCCCAGCTGCCTTCTCCTGGCTCTCTCCCCTCACGGGTAATCACCTTGTTCCATGGCTGCCTGCCACGTATCCTGCCAGGCCACCCCTCTGGGCACCGTCTGAACAAGAAGGAGTGATCAGGAGCCAGAGACTGTGTATGCAGCATCTCCCTGGCAGCTGGCAAGGGGCTATTCATTGTCTGAGGCGGCCCCTAAGCTCAACCAGCCCCTGGTTGGGGTCCTTGTCCCAGATCCATAGACTGCACCTTCTTGACCCTCTCCTATACCTCCTCTGCCAGACAAACACAACCATGTCTCCCTGCTGCAATGTCAGGAACCTCGCAGACCAAAACACCGCCTCAGTCCCCCTCCTGCAACTGCTCTGCAGGGGCTGGCAGCAGCTCCTGGCACCAAGACACATCTCAATTAATGTGGTATGTGAACGAGAGCTCCTCACCCGCCTGCTGACATTCTGCTTCACCCGAGGAGCCCCAGTGCTCTGTCCTGGCTCTGCGGGGGGAGCCCTGCAGCTGGGAGGGAGTTCGACAGCGAGACTGTCCTCGCTGTGACCCCACAGGGTGGGAAGGGGGAGACAGGGATGAGACATTCCAGCGCCTCGCTCCTAATTTAATAAAACAACATGGAGAGAAGTGAAGGGATGGGGGGGAATTTAACCCCTCTGCTGCTGAGAGCAGGCTGAGCGGCACCATGGGGACCCTAAACGGCTCCTCTCTTCCCAGCCCTGGTGCCTTCCCCATGTACAGGCTGCGTGATGGCAAAAACTCCAGCCCTTGAGCTGCTCTTCAGACGGGCCTGCATGGCCCAACTCCTGCCAGCCCCACAACAGGACCCCTCCCAGTCCTCCCACCATCACCTGCAGGTCAGTCTTCATGAGTGACGCTCCAGCCTCCACAATGTAGTGGCAGATAGTGCGGTGGCGTAGAGCTGCAGCCTGGTGCAAGCTGGTTTCGCCGCTACAGGAAAGAAAGAAGATGTGAGGTGTGCCCCCTAAACACACCAAGAGGGGATAAGTGCTGCACATGAGAGACATCCCCCTGGCTGCAAAAGGTGCCTGTCCCATGGTCAGCCCAGGGGATGCTGCTTGGGGACTGGAAACCATGGCCAACAAGTAACAAATGTCAGGAAATAACTTACTTCTCCTCCTCTGTGGCATCGAGGATTTCTGAAGGGGCTGTGGAGAGAAAGAGTACAGGGCAAGTGAGACCAGGCCACAATGCAGGGCTGGGCCTACCAACACCCCAGTTGCACACTGCACCCTGCTGTAGGGGCTACTATCTGTACTGCCCACAAAGGGCTTGGCTCCAAAACCCTCAGGCCAGCAACTGCATCGGACCTCAGCTGAGATAAGGAAAGAAGAGTTGCTTGTGCATTCATTACAGAGAAATAGCCAAATAAAAATAAATCAGCTTGCATTTCAGTGGAAGCTGCCAAAAACAACAGGTCAGCTCCCATGAAAGCAGAAGCATGACACTGAGAGATGTTTCCCAGAGACATGACGGTCACAGCAAGGATCGGATAACAGCCCAGGGCACCGAGCACTGGCAGAAAGATGCTAAGGATAGCCCATGTCACAGTGGGAGGATACAGCAAATCTGAGGGACCCTCTACGCAGAGGGTCGGGTGTTGTTGGCTGCTAGCCTGCTTTGCTAAGGGTGGCATTCTGGCCACAGTGAACCAGCCCAGCTCACCATTCTCAATTATGTATTTGACGATGTCCTTGCTCCCTGATATGACGGCGTGATGGAGGACAGTTCGGCCAGAGGAGTCTCGCACCATCAGGTCTCTTCCAGCCCGGTGCAGCTCTTGGAACTATGGGATTGGCAGAGAGGTCCAGATGAGTTTCAGTTCTCGTCTATAACTCCCCAAGTCCTGGCACCGCATCCCTGGAGTGCCCAGCAGCTTGTTTCTGAAGAGGAGCTTTGAGGACCAAGGCTCCTTGCCAGGAGCCTGCCTGGTTTTCACCCTCTGCTCCTGGTTGGGCACTGCATGGAGGAAAGGCCTCACCAGGAGCCACTGAAGGGCAGCGGCATGTCAAAGCACAAAGCTAAAGTGCCTACCTTGCTGAAGTTACCGCTCTTGGCAGCTTCTATCAGGTCATCTGCAAAGAGAGATGGGTTGGGATCAGAAAACTCCACCTTGTGATGCTATTTATCTACCTGGGGAGCCAAGAGTTGGGCACCAGAGACCCAAAGCTGTTAGCTGAGTTCCTCCAGGTGCCAGCCCCTTGTTTTCAGGGTGAACAGCAGCCAGGTTGATTATACATGACCCCTGCACCCTTGGGTATCTGAGGGAAGAAGAGAGGTATGTACCTGGCGGTGCAACCAGAGCTTGGCCCAGGGAGATGTGTGCAGGGAAGCAAGGGGCTCTGCCCATGGGCAAGATGAATTGTGATGGAAGCAAGGAGCAGATCTGGGTGTCAGCCAGCAGCTAGGATGCCTCTCAACGTGAGTCACTCACACATCTAGGCTCTGAGCTCTGCTCAAGCTCCAGGAAACTCTTTCCATTTACTCAGTTCAGCGAGGCCCCTGACCTTGTGCTCCCACCTCCCGAGCTCCTGCTGCGGCCTGGCAGAAACAGCCCCCAACCCAGCCAACAGCACACAGCTCTGCAGGTGGGGGATTAACCCCTCTGCCATGCCATTTCCTGCCCTCTGCGTGCAGCTCGCAGAGTTGGGGAGCACCTGGCCAGACCACTACACAAATCATCATCAGGTCACTGCTGCCTGCCTCTGGGGTCACCTGCCCCCACCTAGCACATTAGCTGCAGGGCTTCTGGCTGCACTTCAGAGAAAGGATAGGCCAGAAAGCAATGGCAGGAACCCAAAACGGTTCAGCAGAGGAAGCAAGACAGATTGAGAGCTCTGCTTGGCGCCTGCAGTGAGGACAGACGAACTCACCTTTGTGTGGGAGGCAGAGCTCAGCGTCAGCACTGGAAGAGAAGAAAAGGTGTAACTAACCCTGCCAGCCTGGGCAGCACATTGCCTGAAAGATGCACGTGGTGAGTGGAGGGACAGCTCGGAGATGCCTACCTGTAGCACTTCTCCAGCCAGCAGGAGAAGCAGGCCAAAGTATCAGCTACCCTCTGACCATGCCATCTGCTTCTTCCCCGAGCTGGGTTCTTCCCCAGCCCCACTCCCGTTTCCACTACTGCTCTCAGCACCCACACCTGAGCCTGGCCTGACCCATGTCCACAGACCAGATGCTGGAGCTTGGCCCCGTGGCCTAGTCACACTGTGATGCTCTACTGCCTTCAGCACAGCCAGCAATGAAGCAAGGATGGCAGGACAGCATCCCATCCACTTGGTCTAATCTGGCAGTGGACTCTTATTCAATTCCTGGGATCCCCTCTGCAATCCAGCCTAGGAATCAAAGCTGTGAAGCCAACCATGGATTTCCCATTGCTGCTCATCCTTCCTGAGGCCCAGCAACCCATTTCCTCCCACTGCAGACTCACCTGGGGGCAGGAGAGCAGGGTGGAGAGGAGGAAGAGGAAGGGAAAGCAAAATGGTGCCCAGGAGGTGTGGCAGATGAGTCGACAAGATCAGGCATGGCAGGAGATGTGCCTACGGTCTGGGTGATCACCAGCTCTGGATCCAGCACATAGAGCTCATCCTGAGAGATCTCTGTCACATAGTTGAGGTGCTCCTGGAATGCAAAAGTCAGCCTCTTTGGAAGCAAGACCTACATCTGTATAGCTTCATCTCTCAACCCCTCAAACCCCACACCTTTCATACCACTCTGAAAAGCCTTTGCCCACAGGACTATAGCTGACTGAAGCTGACAGAAAGGAGCACCATGTGGAGCCTCAAGGAGTCAGACAGACAGAAAAGAAGGGAGCTGCATCCCACCTTGTCTACTCCTGTGAAGCCTGTCATCACCAGTGCCTGAGGCTGTGGTCAGGCATGCTTTTCCTGCCTCGATTCCCCTAGTCCTCACCCCAGGCTGGCACAAATCCCATCTCTTTTCAAAAGGACCTCAGACCTTCACAGGATTTCTGCCTCAGCTTAAAGCACACCCCCAGTGATACCTGGAGGCAACCCAGCTTCACACAGTCGGAGTCGCTTTTAGTGGCTCCTGAATGTCCCCCCCTCAGAGCTTATGTTTCAGGCTGTTTTTCCCACACTCACCTGAGCGCGATCTATCCTGTAGAATCGATCTGCTGTGGTTGCTGCAAGACAGGGACAGAATCAGACAGAGTGATTCTTGGCTGCCCAGGCAAGGTTGCTGCACTGGGACCCTTGGGGGCCCCGGGAATTCTCTGCAAACTGAGTGGGGATTGCCCAGATTGGATTAGAGGAGTGAAAGAGCTTCATCTATTCTATCCTGGCTAGAGATTTACAGCCATGGAGCTGCTGCTGAAGGCCTATAATTCAGCTGCTTTAACAAGACTGTGCTGTCTTGAATGAGGCTCTGGCTCCTTTCCTGACGCATTCTCCTGAGCTCAGAACCTGCTGCTGGGAGACTGGCTGGAGGAAGGACACCTGGGAGCAGCCATCCCAGCAGCCCCTCGTGAAGGGTCTGAAGGCCCCAAGGGAGAAGCAACATCCTTTCACCCTAGTATGAGGCTTCCCAGGCCCATGTTGTAGCCTCTGGCTGTACCTGATGTCCCTTGCAGGGTGAGAGGGACCAACACACATGCTGGAGACCTGAGATCTCAGGGGAAATACAGCAGCATCTCCACTGAGATAAGAAGAAAGGACAATTTTCCCAGGTGACCTGCCAGGACCTCTGAAGCATCTCACTTATATCCAAGATGGCCTTTACCTGATCAGCAGTGATTGCCAGCTCTTGAGACAGGTCTGTTTTTCCTGGTCTAGGCTAGGAGTGGCTCTTGTCCTTGTCTTTCTCCCTGGCCCTTGCTAGGCCCTCCTGCATGCAGGCCTAAGCAGTTGTGTGCTGCCCTGAGTACACAGGAAGTAGACAGCTTTGCTCTGCCCTAAGCCCTGCTGCTGGCAATTAGAAACTCCTCTTGCAAGTCAGGGAGATAAAGTGTCAAGTGATAGTCACTTATCTCAGCTTCCAGATACACACAGAGAGCTCTGACCTCCAGGTCAGTGAAGGCAGAGGGAGAGAAGAAAGCTGTTTCCAGAATGGGGAAAAGTAGCTGGAAAGCAGTGGGGAAACTGTTCCCATACTTCCAAGATATACAAGGTGATTTCTCACTCCCAGTTTGCTAGAGCATGGGGGCCCCCTGCCTGCATGCCACAGAAGAGCAACCCCACCAGTCCCGAAGAGACAGGGCATACAGGGCTGTGTTCAGCTCCGGGGCTGGAGAGCAGCAGATAGCCCTTGCCTGGCAGGCTGCTCGCTCTACTCGTGGTTAGCTGCCAGAGGCACAGCTTGGGCAAAGAACTGCTGAACTTGGCTGCAGGGATCCCAACATCCTTGAGTCTCAAGTCCCACGTGGCTCTCAATGACTTGCCCTAAAGGTCTATATTGTCATACTCCAGATTCAGGCACAAAGCACTCCCAGCAGATGATGATACTCACAGTCCAGGAAGCACCATTTTGGTGACAGTTTCTGGGATGACAGTGTCTTCGGTTTGGCTCCATCTCCTTCCTGCATAGAAAAAACAGAATACAGCGATGTCTCTTGGCTCCTCTATTCTCTCCCCAGCGTGTCCCTCCTGTTTTGGGAGGTCCCTGTGGATTGGAGGGTTGCAGGCGCTTGGACAGGAATGAGAACTTTGAACACTGTGATGGAGGGCAGCACAGGACAGAGCAGAGCTGACATACCAGCTCACTGGAGAAGTGCCAGAAGATGAGCCCATGAGACAAGCATGATGCACATGACAGATAGGCTTGAGGGATGGTGAGATGCCATACACACCTGAAAGAGCAGGCGCTGCAAAGCAGAGGGCTGTGGAGAGAAATCCTGCAGAAAGGCAAGGTATGTTGTTACAGCATTTGCCTGGGCAGCCCCCTATCCCTTCTTTGGTCCCACAGAGGTTTGCACTGTCACCCTACTGCAGAATATGGCAAGCAGCTTTACACATTACCAGGCCAAAGTCTCTGCCCTGATCCAGAACCAGGAAACATAATATAGCTCAAGAAGAGAAAACAGGAAAAACATTAGGTGACCAAGAAACATCAGCACTGCTTTGGAGGCGGCTACCAGGCTGATGATGTGGGAAAGTGGTATCCTCTGAGCTTAGGAGTCTCCTAGCCTCATGCTTAAGATGGCCTAGGCTGCAAGCGCCAGCTCACTATGGACTGAGCAAGGTTCTGTAAACTGGGAGAAAAATGGATTGTGCAGTACAACACCAGGAGCCACACTGTGGACTCAGCAGACGTTGCTCATCAGGACCGAAGGTTATGCAGCCTGTGTACAGGTTGGGGACACACATTAGCACACTGGCAAGAGCACTGAAGTTACTACTTGCAAATAAAGAATATTGGAGGGGGAAAACAACCCTAATCTGGGCATCAAGGGAGAAGCAGAGTTGTGCCCCGAAATGCAAAGCCTGTAGAAGGTTAAAAGGAGGTTGAAGGAACACACAGTACAGCAAACAAAGGCAGAGGAAAAGCCTCCCCAGACACATAGGAGGAGGCAGGTCTTGTGCTGGCCTTTTCCTCTGCCACAGAATCTCTCTGGGGCAATGACACTCAGGGCCTGGAGAACAAGGTCAGAAGAGCAATGCAAAGAAATAAGCTGCTGGACAGTAGGGAGAATCATGCCGTCCAGCTCGGGAACCTGCCTCCACCATGTGGTGAAAGTGAATCATGAGCTCCTACCAGAAGCAGGAACGTGAGTGTTGGTGCGGGCAGATCAAGGCAGCCTAGAAATCCTTCTGATTCCCTCCAAACTCAGCAGTCAATCACAACCTCTTCTACACAGAGCCTCACCTCCTGCAGCCTCTCAATTTGGGTCCGGCACAACTCCAGGTCACTGTCCCCTGGAACCACGATGATCCCCAGCGGCACAGCTGCACAAAATGGGACACACATACAACTCAGGAAGCAGACTGTGCCTGATCCCCAGTACCTCACACAGCTCAGCTGCAGGCACTGCTGGACTCAGGAAGTGCAGTTCCCACCCCTCTGTTACTCAGCTGGTCACTCACAGGCTTCCTTCAGCTTCTCCTTGTCATAGTGCAGTGCCTCGTAGTCGCGCATGCTGATTCGGCTCACTCGGATTCGCAGCCGCTCAGGCACTGGCTGCTGGCTGCATGCCATGGGAAGGGAAAAGAGAAGGGATCAGAAGGTGAGAACTCACTTTCTCCTTATGCACCTTACTCCTCCAATACATGCAAAAGCCCAGGGTGGAGTGGGGAGATTGCCACCAGCAGCTTTTTTGATATGAGACTCTAGGCACACTTCTGCAGCCTGGGCCCTTTCCAGCTCCGCCTTGAGAGGACCAAAATGCTCCTGGGAGTGATAGATCAGTCCCCCCACCTTCTCCATCCACCCCTTCTGCTTTGGAGAGGAGATGACAGACTGATCTGAGGAACCTACTCGTTGAGCAGAGGCATGGAGTTGCGCCGCTTGGTCTTCTGCACCATGTTGGCTTGGTTGCGCAGGGAGATGTGGATACAGGAAGCTGCCAGCTTGCAGGGCTCCCCATCTACCTGCATGGGGATGGCCTTCGACGTGGTGAGAACTACCTGCCGGCACTGACACAGCCTCTCCCCGTGGCCACCCACCTGCAGTGCAGCCTGTGAAAGAGTCCAGAGTGAGAGCAGAGCACAGACTGAGAGATGGATGGGGAAAACATCCACTGTCAGACAGATGGTGAACTGAGTTCTGAAGGCTTTGGACCTGATCTCAGTGGGAAGGAATCCACAGAGACCAGTGCAAGACAGCATCCTGCCTAAATCTGAGGGAAAACATAATGTCACACAGGCCAGCACAGGAGAGGAACTGTGAAGCAGTGAGGCTGACTGACACCTGGGCAATAGGACTGGTCACTCCCCTGGTTGCAAGCTACCACCAGCACAAACAAACTCACCAGGGAAGTCATAGTGAAGCCAATGACTTCAATGCAGCCATCATCATGGCGCTGCGGCTCGAAGTCGTGGTGCTCTCCAGGGTTGCCCCAGGGCATCGTGCCTGCACAGTATCTGTGAAGGGACAGTGAACAACACATGGACAATATCCTCAAACCTGGGCACAGATCTGTTGGATGGCAGTCAGTAGGCCACTGCACTAGAGCAGGTCCTGGGACTGCTCACCTGGGGATGTTCAGGAAGACCAAACACTGGGGCTTCAGGTCCTGGATCTTGTGGGTCAGGTCCACCCCATCACACTGGAGACAAACACAGGGGCACTTAGGCTGCTATAAGGAAGGAGTCTGGCCCGCCCTAGCTATTCAGGGTGAAACAGCCTCCCCCTCTGCTCCTCAGGGCGACCATCTTCCAAGCCAAGGGAAGGTGATGCCCCAAGGAACACACCATCTCCCCCAGCCCTAAGACACACAGTGTGCTTAGAGCAGCTGCTCCTCACTCCCTATACAGTTTGCCCTCCTCCCTGGCCCAGTGCACTGCCACACACTCACAACCAACTTGACGTGCTTCGCTAAATCTTTGGAGCTCCCTGTGAGGAAGTCGGAGAAAGCCGTCTGCCAAGGCAAGAGACAGAGTTAGTGCCCAGACATTCACTGAAATGGGCAGCCAGGAAGCCTGCCACCAACCTTCAAACCCCAGCTGCTGAGAGGAGTAAACCCTCTCCCCATTGACTGGAGAAGCCCTCTTCTCTCACCCTCCCAAAACAACCTGATCCATTCCCATTGCCATTTTGCCCACCAAAAACCTTGGGGCACCTCACAGCTTCAGTAACACACCCAACCATTCCTTGCCAGCCCAGTCCTGGCTTTAGGGAAGGTGGGTTATCTCTACTGAGGCACTTGAGTTACAGGAGACAATTTCAGTTTTGAGCATAACACTGATATGACTGTTTAGAAATAACGGGATAGGGGATATAGGTGGGAGACATGTGAGATGGTACAGAGCAGCACTTGGCCTTCAGTACAGCTAAAATACCAGTCACCCCACTGCTTGGGTAGGAAGGTATACTGTGGGTGAGGGGACAGACACATAAATAAGACAATAAGATGCAAAGCTCCAGAAGGCATAATTAGCCAGGGAGCTGCAAATGGCCCAAGGTTTAAAAAAAATAAAAGACCAAAGTAGCCTGAGGACTCTACGGAGAGGCTTTCCCTTCCTCTGCCTTCCCACAGCTCTGAGGAGGTCCTGCCTGGCTGACTGTCCTCGAGCCTGAGAACAATAGTGGCAGGAGATCAAGGGAGCAACTATACCGCAGGCCAGAGAGAACGCTATATCACCAGTAATGTCTGCAGCCAGGCAGACCTGCAACTCCCAGCACTGCAAACCTTCTCCAGCACCTCTCCAGTTTCAGGCGCAAGGCTCAGCTTAGGTGTATGCAAAAGCACAGTAACTCAGGGGAGTGAATTTAGGTAATGGACAGGAGCTGGGGCCATGCCTATGTTCCAGCTGAATCTACGAGGGAATGCCTAGATACCCTCATGCACTCACCCCAGCATAGAACATTTTATTCCGAAACCGACTATTGAACTTCTCTGGATTGGCCTCTAAGGAAAAGAGAAAAAAATCCAAGTCATTGGCCTGAACATATAAATATTTTCCTTGCCTGCTTTCTCCAAACATGGCTTTCTAGCCAGCCTTGGCCAGGACAGTTCCCAGCTCACTGCCATTGCACACATCCCTCTTTCCCTCAACAACTCCTCTCATCCCTCTGATTTCACCTCTGTTCTGGTATCAATCCTCTTGTCCACTTTTTCAAGGATCATTTATGATGTGTCACAGAGGTGCCCCTGACTGCAGACCTGCTGCAGCCCCACTGCACTTTGCTGCCACGTACCTCGGGATTCATGAAATTCCAGCGTCACCCGCGCATCAAAACCAAGGCTAAAGTAGTTATTAAAGACATCCAAGGGAAGCTGAAATGGAAGGGAGGAACAAGGTTGCAAATCCTCATGCTGGCAGAATGATGCTGCCACTGTATGGCCATGGCAAAGGCAAGTCATGCACTGTGCTCACAAGGGTGAGTGGAGATCAGCTGTCCCTCCAGAACACCACAGAGGTGACCAGCCTGAGGCAGTGGGCCAGCTCTTATCTGTTGTTCTGTTCTCAGTGGCCTTGTGGCATTGGCACAGGTCTCAAGGCAGGACAGGCAATGTCCAGGCATATGTATCACAGAGGCTTAAGGCAGTGTGGCACTCAGCCCACCCGCCGTCGTGCATAAGAGTAGCAGACACGCCAGCAGAATAGGCAACTAAGGCAGAGAGATGTCCCACCTTGTCAGCAGCTGTCTCATCCTTTTCCTCAGGGTTTGCTTCAGGGTTTGCTTCCACACGGAGGTTCCAGCGATCAAGCTGCACAATGTTCCCATCTTCCACATGTGACAAGATCTTGGACAGAGGCTCATCTGTGTAACCCTAGTGAAGAAGAGAACCTGTCTTCTATCTGCCTCCCAGGGATGTCTCAGAGACAGTGGTCTGTGGGAAAACATCTCAGAGGAAAGTATGTGGAAAAGAGAGATTCTACTTGAATGCATAACAACCAAATGGGACTTTAAATTTAAAAACAATGCATCTTCCTTCTAGAAATATCCCAAAAGTTTGAAAAATGATTGCTTTTGTTAATGTTCTAATATATTATAATCTAATTCAGAATAGTTTATATGTCAGAAGAACAGTAATGTCCAAATGGCACTTATTTATTGGTCTGCATTTAGGATAAGGAGGTGCAAACGCACCAGTCAAAGCAATCTGTCCACCTCTGGCCACAGTTGGCTCTTCTGCCTGTCACTTACCCCACCCCAGTTCAGTGTCCTGGCCAAGTCATTGCCTGTCCCCAGCGGAAGGATGGCCACAGGAGGAGGTGGATTGAGGCGCAGCTGGTCCAGAATGGAGAGTATCCAGCCCACCTGTGAAAGAGGGTGCAGAGGAACAGTTGGTTATTTCACGGAACAACAGGCGGGTGAAGGTGACATGAAGGTGACATGACATGATACTAGCCACAGCCAGAGAGGCAGAAACAGGTTTCCTTTGGCACTACTGAGGCTATTCACATTCTTTAATACTTCAAATGAGTGCTGCAGGAGATACCAGCAGCCCGAGAGGGGACACTGTTCCTCTGAAAGGGCCACAAATGCAGACACTCCACACAACTAGACCACCTGGGAGCTGTGCATGAGGGGACCCACAGTACTTGGTGCTACCAGCTGTATCACAGACACAACACAATGCACACGTTTTGCCTTGTTCTGGAGTACAGTGAGGAGGGCTGCCAAAAGGGTATTGCAAAGGGTAGCGTGGATGTGAAGGGGCTGGGGGACTCACCGTGCCATCTCCCCCACATGCCAGGATCCGTAGGTTGTGGACCTTGCGGTACAACTCCAGCCTGCGAGGAGCAAGGAGGGTCAGGAGGGGAGGGCACAGACACTGAGACTGCAGCCAGGAAAATGTGTTACTGCAGGGGTAAACTGAAATACAGCAAACAGTACTCACGCCTCCTTGGGACCGCCCTGGCTGAGGTCGAAAACTTGCCGTGGGTTGAGATACCACATGAAGGACTGGATGATCTTGGCTCCCTAGGGGTAAGAAAGATTTCAGGTAACGGGCAGTTCTCAGTGAGCAGAGGGAAGAAAGCCTGGTGACGGGTCAATACAGCAGTGTTCTGGGGTACTCAGGCAAAGTCTGGGTTAAGAGGACAGCATTGGAAGCAAACTGACAGCAAAGGTTTCTAGTCCCTTTTGCAGCTGAGACTACCAAAACTGTTCTGAGCTCTCAGCAGCCAAATGGCAAAGAGCTGCCTTCTCAGGGAGATGAAGGGCAAGGCCATACCTGATTCCCACCACTCTTGGGGTTCACAAACACCAGCAAGGGCTTCATGAGAGGAGCTGGCATAGGCTTGATGACAAAAGGTTTCCACCTCCCTTCCTGCAAAAGACACCACAGGACCATTAACAGACCTAGTGAAATGCAAACTCCCACCTCCAGCTAACATCACGTAGATCAAGAGTGAAAAGAAGAGAATATCCCAACCACTGCATAAATCTAATAGCTAGGATGTGCCCTGCCAGCAGACATAACTCACCTCAGCCTTTCTCAGCTCTGTGACAATCTGAGATCTTCAGCCACTCCCAAGGCTCCTCTTTGCCCCAGCCCCCTTCTCCTTCACCTCGCACCTCAGTGCAGTCCCTGAATAGTGCCCTGATTTCCCAGTTCTGCTCCTCACTGCACAGCATCTCCACCTTTCCAACACAAGGTCACTCCCACCCCCTCTCATTTCTTACCTCAGCACCCTTTTTGCTGGATTTTCGCTTGAATGATGTCCTCTTCTTTTTCTTACTGGATTTCATTGGATTCTGAAAAGACAAAAACCCGAACACTATATGAGGAACTGCTGGGTAAGCAGGAGCCATGCAAAAAGACAAGAGCTGATATGCTTTACCTGGGGCCGTCGGACCCGCAAAATCCAGGTGGGAGGAACAACAACAGCAGCGTGAGCCCCTAGTGAGCAGGGCTCTTCGATGTGTTGCAGCATGAAACATGACACTTTGCTGTGATACTGGAGAAGCAGAGAGACAGAGAAAACTCAGCCCACTCCATTTCTCCTCCCAGCTGCCCTGTGCCAGTGAAAGGAGAGCTGTAGGAAATGATACAGGAGTTTCGTAATGGAAGGGCTTCCTCTAGGAGGGGCTGAGAAGAAAGCTTCCCATAGCAGCTCCCAGCTATCTTGGTAAGAGTAGCTGTAGTGCAGGCCGCAGAGGATAAACCTGGGGGGTCCCAGCTAAAAGCAGAGGTCATTAGAGCAGATGTTCAATGGGGCTTTGCTCACCGCTTGCTTGCACCAAGAACAGCTGATGGCTACAATCTCCTTACTGTGGAAGGCAAACTTCTGCTGGAAACCCTGCAGAGGGAAGGATGAGAGGCTTAGGGAATTCCCTTACAGCTTTCTACCATCCAATAGGACTTCCCCAGATATATAAACAAAGTGAGTGTGCCAGAATGCCTGGAGCCCTCTTGATCCCTGTCAGATAGCCCCAACCACCACCCTACAGCACCAGGGAGATTGCTGTGCTCTTTGCAGGAGCATCTCTATTGCCCAGGGATAGTGCATCAGGAAGACAGTCCCCTCTAGGACTGATAGGGACCAGTGGGAGAACAACTTTATACATGTAGCAATTATGTAGTGCTTCACTGTGTGAAACAGGCCACTAGTCTTGGTTTTGCCACAGGCTGCTCCTGCCTAGCAGGAATAGCAGTATGTTAGGCAGGAATTCTACTTCCCAGTCCTGCTATTGCCCCTTGTTTGACCTTAGCTCCCCTTCAGGCTGAGGAAAAACACACCAAGATGTCCTCTCACCTTGCCACACTGCCGGCATTTCCCTTCCTGTCGCCTCCGATGCACCCAGTGATGCCGGACAACTATGGGCTAAAGGGAAAAAAAAAAGTAAAAAAAAAAAAGTGAAAGCCCCAATGCATACAAGGACATAGGAACAGGCAAGAGGAACAGGCACAGGCCAGCCAGAACCTCTGCTCTTGTAGCAAGCTTGTTGCCCCTGTGCACCAGCACCAAACCTCTGCAAAGGCAAAGCCAAAGACCTTAGGGGCACAAGACCAAATTGCGGTGCTCAAAGAAAAGGAAAAAAACAAGACAAAACAAAGAACCAAATCAGAAAGGAAGAGTCAGAAATTGAAGATAGAATCACAGAAAGCGAACAACAGAATGGGTAAGCAGTAGCCTATAATGTTTCTTTGGCCATAAACCGTATCTCTCTCTCTTAATATCTCTGACCAGATGACAAAAGTGAAGGGTGAAAAAGGTGCCAGGGCAAAGTGAAAATTCCCAGTGAGACACAGCTTCTGCACACAGCAAGACAACAGGAGTGCCTGCAGCCAAGTCAGCTGCCTGCTCCTAGCAACCTGCCCAGTTCTAACAGTGTTTTTTCAAGGAAAGAAGCGGCCCCAAAGACCCCATGCCCAATTCAGCCTGCTCTTCTCCCCAGATAAAATCCTGCTAACCTGCTGCAAGGAGAGGAACAGAGTTTCTCATGGGCACCTTCTCCCTGCCCACAGCTGCACTGTGCATAAGGGCTGGTGCTTGCAGGATGGTGGAAACAGGGATACCTCACAGTGGGGTCTTTGAGTATTGTAGGGGGACAGAACCAGGCAGCAAAAATTCTGGAAGAATGCTTTTCTATGGAAATGGGATGTCTTTAGGTAAACTGAGGAGTATTGGAGAGAGAATGGAAGATGAGTCATGAAGGCTGGCAGGTGCTTCACCAGTGCAGCTCAGCAGGTAGGTCCCAGCTTACACCCACTACATTACAATGCAGACAAAAGATGTCCAACAGCACCACCGTGGGTGCTTTTCCATTGCTGTAGGATCACCTGTGGCACCCTGGGCAAATCTGAGCAATAGAGCAAGAATTGAGCCTGCGCTGCCCCCTGCCAAACTGTGGGAAACTTGGGGAACTGCTGCTTGCCACAGCCTGCTCTATTGGCTTGGACATCAGCAAAGGAGGGGTTCTTTGCCCTTCTCAAGAAACACTGTTTGCGTGTTCCTCCCATGCAGATACATGAGCTATATAACATACAAAGCAGCAGATGCTCTGCCTCTTGCTTGCAATCTCCTCTCTTCTTATACCCAGACTGTGCTGCTGCTTGGCAAGGAAACATTCTTTACTGCACCTCCCCTCTGGAGCCAGAAGGCAGTACAATGCCAGCACTTTGATGGGCAGCGTGCTGGCAGCAGCTGATCCCTTTGCAACCAAACTGGAAAGGCAAGTGCTCAGCCATAGGCAGCATCCAAGGCTCACATCTCACCTCCCGTACGTTCCGTGATCCTGACTCCCTGAAGGAAGGTTTGCAGCGGAAATTTATCTGTGGATTGAACACACATGATAGGAATCAGTAAAATCACCACCAAGACGAAACCTACTGGAGTTTATTTTAGTATAGCAGAACCTCTGGCAATGTTCAATGCTTGATTGAAAAACCCACCACCTCTATCATTAAACAAAATGGGGCCAGGACTCCCAACAGAGTAAATAGTGCTCCTTTTGGTACTGTCTCTTTCCAGCAACACACTGCAGTTTCCAATCAACCTATGCTACCCCAGAGAAAGGAATGGCCAGTATCAGACTGTCAGAGCTTTGGAAGCCACAGAGAGGGCTTAACAGGTTTTACTCACTTTCTCCAGCTGTTCTATGCAGGGTGTATGCACTATGATCTTGCATGCTGCACACTTACGCCTGGAGAGAGGTTTTTGCTGGAGGATGAGAAAATGGGAGGAAAAACATGCATGTGAACAGCAGAATAAGGAGGCCAGAAACTCAACCATTTCTCATGCTTCCTTCATATATTTCAGGATGTAAAGAACAAGTCCTAGAGGAATTTTGTACGATCTAGACACCTTGCCAGTAACAGGATCTAAGCACATGCCTAGAGCAGATGCTCTTGAGTCTGAGGCACAACAGGGAGGTGCTCTCCCACTGCCAAAGCAGTCCTTAGCCTCTTCTGTCACTGCCATAGAACAAAACAGGACATTGTTTGGGAAGCACTTTCACAGTCTGGCCCAAAGCTTTTGCTCATCTGGTGGCAGTATAAGGCTAGGGGGCAGGCACATGGTGGCATCAGTGCTGTAAATCCTGCACCACAAGCAGGATTGAGTCCGCAAGCAGGGAGAGAGAAGTGCAGCTATGCTGCTGCAAGGCCTGCTGGGGCTCCAGTACAAGCATGCAAGGAGAAGGGACAGCAGGTCTGGGTCTCCACTGCTCATTCTTCCTCTGTGTTGAAAGGTTTTTCCAGAGAAACTGGATTCAGATTCTTCCACTAAGCATGTGTGATCCCAACAACCCCTCCCTGCAGTGACCTGCAGCTGTGTGCAGCTCTGCACTAGACTCCTGTTGAAAACTGAATGGCAGCACTGGCAGACACTGGGCATGCAGCACTGCAGCACACAGAGACTCATCCTCTTCCCCTTGCCAGCTCCTCAGGCTCCCACTTCTCCCAGCACCAGGTTCGTGGTCTCTCCACCGGGTGGCAGCACAGCCTGCAGCTGAGGAGCACGCAGGGAGTGCGAGTGACCCCAGGCGACTTACCAGCAGCTTGGCCATGCAGTTCTGCTCCCCAACGTAGCAGAAATCCCCAGAGACATTGGTCTCAAACCAGATGTGCTCCCCATAGACTGCAGTCTCCTGAAAGGCACAAGACAACATGTTCCTCGGAGCATCCTCAAATGATCACCCCATCCCTAAATTGCTTTGTGCCAGGGACAAGTTATGTGATGAGGTGGGAAAGAAGAAATGGAGCTGAGTGTTGGCAAGGTATCAAGATTTATCGAGAAACCAGGGCCAACATCTCCACAGAGGAAATCAGACTGCCCCAGGAAACCAACTCTCCCCTTGTTCAGATCCCATTGCAAAGATCCCCAGCCCAGCTACAAAATGTCCTGCATAGAGGTGCTGCTTCCAACACCTGAAAGGAGAATCTGGGGAAAGTTCATCACATGAAAAACAGTTTCCACTCTGTGACCTAAAGGCGCAGCTTACAGCCTGCCTGGCCTTGCCTGTGGAGGAGCAGGGGCTTGTCCTGGTGCTCAGCCCCAGCCACCAGGAAACCTCCACTGCCAGGAGCTGAGATGGAGGAGGAGAAGCTGTGCCACCTTCCCGGGGAGCTGCCCATGCTTCCCCTCACAGTGCCAAGGGATGCTGCCAGCAGCACAGACAGTGGCACCAGATGGTGGCACAGCGGAGGCCATAAAACTGTCAAAGCCGAAGTCACTTGGGAAGCCTCAGCATGGGAAGAGCCTGCTGCCTCCCGGTCAGGAGCCTGTCCCACGCAACACCCAGCGAAGCACACCACCACTTACGCTCCAGTCCACAGTGCTGCGTATCTGCCTCTCTGACTCGCTCCTCAGGGCTAGCATGGGGTTTGGCTGGGCTACCATGTGCTGGAGGCTGGACTTGGCAATAGCTTTCCTGGAAAACACAGGAGGGCCAGCTATTAGCTCAGGGGAGGAAGAATGGCGTGTGAAAGCCTGCTGGGCTGTCAGGCAAAAGCCCCAGGATGCTTCTCCAAGATGCGGTGGAGCCTGAAGCAGCCTCATCTGGTACACATAGCCCTGCCCATCCCACCCTGCCCACCCCAGCCTCCCTTCCCACAGCATCGCCTCCTGCGCACCACCATACATACAGCAGCCTGGGGCTCCAGCCGTCGGGGCAGCAGGCTGGTTCTGGTTCCAAGCACTCAGGGAAGGCAGCCCCTGCGCACTGCTGGGCCAGCCACCTCGTGCGAGTGGTGGCCAGCAGCCCGGGCCAGAGGACATCGCTGGAGCGGCGGCGCTGGCTGAGGCGACGGTAGCGGCCCGGCAGGCCGTGGGGAGCCCGGCTGCAGCCAATGTCGGTGGGCAGGCGGTGGGAGGAGGCGCGGCGCAGGCATCGAGGGCCCCGTGTCAGCAGCCTGGCCTGCAGCGGCCGCAGCCGCGGCAGTATGCCCAGCCAGCTCTCTTCGGCCCACCATCTGCCCCGATCCACCCTGCCGTCGCCATCTTCTGCAGGCCAGGAGCTGGAGGCATCCCCGGCACCCTCTCGCCCAGCGGGGAGGAGGCTGGCCAGCAGCACAGAGGGCCCCAGCAGCGTGGCATCGATGGCTGGCGGACAGCCCCCGTGCCGCTGCTGCTGCACGGCGAAGCGGGGACTGAGGCACGGTGGGGTGGTGCTGGAGCGGCGGCGGGGGCCGCGGCGGCGGGTCAGGGGCAAACAGGAGAGAGCTGGCAGTGGGGCACCTGAGCCGCGACGGCGCTGGGTCAGTGAAGCAGAGGGCAGCCCGGCCTGGGAGCGGTGGCGGGCCTTGCCCGTGGGCACAGCCACCACGCTGGCACGCCGTGGGCCCGGCAGCCCCTTCTTCCCAAAGTGCCTCTTAAAAAATGTTTCCATTGTGCCCGGCGGTGGCTGTTGACACAGAAAGCAGGAATTAAATAGGCTGCCCACAGATCTGCCGGGCTGGCGATGGCCACAGGTTTGCAGAGCACAGTTGGAGCAGCTGAGCTGAGAGAGCTGGGTGCTATGGTAGGGCTGGGCCCAGCCTCTGGGACCCACTGGGAGCATCTGGGCTTCTCTAGTTCAAAGCAAAGCTCTTCTTAAGGCAGTCTATGCTTATTTTCACAGCTTAGCCTGAGGAAAGCACCCTCAGAATCACACATGAGACTGCTTCACGGATGAGCTCCTGCCCTGGCGAGGCCAGCCCTGCTCTCTGCCCCACCACTATTTTCCCCACTGGTGCTGGCTCTCCCGGTGTTGCAGCCGTAACCGTTCAGCACAAGCAGCAGCAGCCCCACAGAATTTGTGGCAAATGGAAACTAAGCACTAAAGAAGGAAAACAATCAGGCAAGTCAAAGCAGGGCAAGCACATTTGGTGGAGCCTGGCTGAGAAAGTTGGAGCAGAGGAGAACTAGGAAAATCATCCTATCTGTCCCGCTCAAAACTTCCCTCTCGTTTTGGAAAGAGCTTTAACGGGTCTCTTGACCTTTCCCTCAAAGCTGAGTGTGTTGCCAAGGTGTTGCAGCTGTCCGTGAAAAGCACTAGGCCACAGATGGAAGCTGCTGCAGCAGCAGTTTCAGTGCTCTCAGCTTGGCATGCAAAGGTCAGAGCGGAAGAGGCTGACTCTGACTAGTACCAGAACTCCCATTCTCCAGACCAGTTTGTTTCAAGCCTCTAAAGAGCATGGCAGAAGCAAATTCTGAATCTTCAATTGCTACAAAGGTGGAGGACAGAAAAGTCAGGTTTGGTTTTGCCTCCAGCTGGTTATGCAAGGAAGTCTCTAGTCTCTCTCATCTAGTGATGCTCTCCAGTGGAATGTGCAATTCAGAGAGCAGCATTAGGGGAGTTAGAGCCTTGCTGAACTGAAAGCAAAAACAAAGTACCATCACCTCGGAGGGATTTCTCAAGTTCCATCACGAGTAATGCATATACACTCATCCCTGCCCAGTGACTAGCAGGGTAGCCATCACACCACCGAGGACCATGAGGCTTTTCCAGAGGACTTAACCATGTCTTGCTGACCAGCCAGCTTCTAGCCTGTCCCTGTCACTGCAGCACTCCATTCCTGTCCCTTCTCCCCAACATCAGTGGGATACTGCAGTGAATTGCATCATCACCAATAGGTGTTAAAAACTACATGAACAAATAAAATGTATTTGAAAAAAGACAACATGAGAGAACTGCTTGAGTGTGGCAAGCTTGCCCAGGCTAAGCTGCTGGGAGAGACAGAATTGTCCACCTATATCCTGAGTGAGCTCAACAGGTAGTTCTTTCTGTCCCAGATATTCCACCAGCACAAAGCTAGTGCAGTGCTTGCTGAGTTGCTGCATTGGGCAGGAAGATCTCTCAACACAGCTTCCTTCCTTTTCACACCACATTCTCATGAGGAAACCTGCCAGAACACCCTTGGCTTGACATTTATGTTTGGTTACTGGTTGATTATGGTCTTTTTTATCTCCAGAGCTGTCAGAAAGAGGCACATGGACTCACGCTCCAGACACCAGCAGTGAAGGTTACTGCTGGGTAATCTGACAGCTTATAACAGTACCACGTGGCAGCAGCTCAGATCTGATGGTGAAGATATCCCCATTGCTTGCAACTGAATTCCAATCTGAAAGAGTACAGTGCAGGCACTGAGAGCTGCTGCTGACAGTGTGGAGTAACTGACTGCATGGAGTGCCCAGCACTGATGTGCACCATCAGAGCACCATGCACCAGGTACTGCTGAAGGAGAGCTGTGTCCTGGCAGCCCTTGGCCTAACACTATTGACATTTCTGTGACCTCCACGCTTCTGTGAAAAGACTGTTGGTAGTTGAGTCACAACAGAGAACAGCATGTTGCTTCTCTGCAGGCTGCATCACTGGGCTGTTAGCTCAAGGGGCTAGTTGCAGCCTGGCATCTGCAGGGTAGGAGGAAAAGGAAATACTTCTGCACGCACTAGGACATCAACTCTACTTGCATGCAGCTCAACACTATCATTTCAATCTCATTCTGTGAATAAGGAAGGGGTCAGCTTGTGATCTGCACTTGGAGCTTTTGGTAGGATTTTTTTGAGCCAGACCCCTCAGAGCTCCTCAACCTATTGTGCTCCCTGCCTGGTGCTGGTGGGCTGAGACCTTGCCAAAGCAAGAATGTATCCTGGAGTGTGTGCTGCCCTGAAGAGCTGGGGGAAGAGGAAGGTGCTGCAGGAACCCCCGGGGCTCTCAGAGAAAAATGCAGCCCTGTGCTCTAAGGACAGAGCTAACCTCGGCGGCAGGATATAAACACCCTTGGAAAGCCGAGCAGAGATCAAAGAGGGAAAACTTGCATCTTGTAACTTCACTGGACAGAGAACTCATGGATCGGCTGACATGGGCACCCTGATCACCCAGCAGCTATCACTCCCCTGGTTGTGACAGCAACAAAACCAGACAGATTGATTTCTACACAGTGTCCCTCAAGGCATAAGCTCTAAGCTCTACCCACATCATGAATATTTCTTGATATTCAGCTCCATTACTTCGCTTTGCTCCAGCAGCCTCAGGCAGATCTCTGGGTACTGTGCTGACCATGCCTTCTGTGTCCTCAGACAGAGGGACACAGTGCAGCACGCTGCTCGGTCCTCTTGCCTGTGCCATTGTTCCCCCCCACACACACCATGGTGTCCTCCTGCCAGTGCCCAGAAGAAGAGGGATGCCAGCCAAACAAGCCTCAAAGCCTAGAGAAAGTTTGGACTTGAAAAAACCATCAGCAGACCTTTCAGCAAGCCTCTAGTTAGTTGATTGGAAAGCATTTTTTCCAACCACGGAGCTACAGGAGGGAAATGAGCCCATGTTTTGCCCTTCTCCATGACGAGAATCTGTCCTGGCTGAGTCTGCGAAGCAATACTTGCTGCGTTGTCTGGGTGGGTGCTATGGCACCAGAGCTGCCATCATGCAGACAAGAGCCTGTCTCAGTTTACAAGCTGCCCTCCCTGGCAATGACAGTGATCTTGCACAGCTCAACTCCTGAGAAGAGGCGTTACTAGCAGGCACCTGTGTGTGATGCCAAGATCTCCTGAGCTCCATGCAGCCTAGCTTCCCATCCACAGCTTGCATGCTGCAGAGGAAGTGCCTGTGCCGGACAGGGAAGGGAACACGCTGGTCAAGACATGGTGCAGCCCTCAGGGCTGTGGTTGCAGAGAGGTGAGCAAGTTCCCAAACTCTGCATAGATGGTTTCTACCCAAAATTTCCACTCCAGCTGTAATCTGTACTACATCATGATCCAGAGGCAGAAGCTGCACAAGGGGCAGGGCTGTGTGAATGTGGGCTCCAAGGCAGAAAGGTCTGAGAATCATCAATGCACAGGCACACCAGCTCTCAGCCAGCTCAGAAGTGGGGGTGCAGACAACCCCCACCAGCAGGGAGCAGGACAGAAGCAGTGACTGCCTGTGGGCTGTATGAGCCATTGATAGCTGTCACAGTGGGGACAACAGCTCATGTTTCCCAGCACTGTCAGCCCTTCTACCTTCCGATTCATCACTGCAGCTGATGTGTGAGTAATGCTGCACCGCTCGTAGGACTGAGATGACCAAAATCACATCCATCCAAACCAAGAGCCTTTAGCAGCAGTAGCCATAGCCAAGAACACCTTCAGTTGTGCCATCACCTGGAGGCGGCAATATCAGCTCAGACTCTGTGTGCCACAAAGCCCCCATGACAGCATGTGACACTCTGCAGCACAGACCAGAAGGCAGCACCAGGGCACAGACCCAGCACAATCGTTCGTCCAGAGAATGAGGCCAAACAAAAGCAAAACTCGCAGCCTTCTGCTGCACACATACAGGCCACCTTGCAACAGTGCCAGCGCAGGGACCTGATCCAAGAACCCGCAAGGTCTGACACGTTCCATACAATGAATGGTAATGGGATCCCTGCAGACAATGGCCAGAGGGAAAACTCACGTGCCCTCTTTCAGGGGACAAGAATTCCACGGCACAGCTCAGCACCCAACTGGCAGCAAGGACTTGGTGAGAGGGCACAAGGTCAGCACCTATCTGACTGCCGGTGCCCATGGCAGATGACCACACCAAACACCCAAGGATGGGACCAGGCTTTCCAGGCAGCCACTGCTAACTGTAACCCCTTGCCACTTTCAGTCCTTCTGGGTGCTCCTCCAGGAGCTGAGGATGCCGTGAGCATGCAGGTTAAAGAAGGACCCTCACTGATTCCTTCCAGCCTGTCAAAGGGATGATGACACCCATCTGTCATACTGCAGCCCCTGTCCCTCCACACTGACAGTTTGTCCCCAGAGGACAAAAGGAACTGCCTGGAAGCATCTTCACTGACAGTTTAATTAGAAACTGTTGCAAAATCTCTTTTCCCCAAACAACCAGAGCAGGAGGGATGGAGGCAGCAACAGGATGCTCGCAGCTGCTTTGTGCAGGGCTCAGAGGCAAGTGGGAGAAAGGAAATGCTGCAGCTTTGCAGTTTCTCATGGGAAGCTCATCCAGAGAGCAAAGCAGTACTGAAGGAGACACCCAAGCCCACACAGCGATTTGAGTGCAGTCCCCAGCACTTGGCTGTGCCTTGACCAAAATAAGGCAAAAGGGACCAGCTGTCCCACCTCCTGCCAGGCCCTTCACAAGATGCACAACCAAGTGTTCCCAAGGTCAGGCTTGCTGGGAAGAACAGGAGATGGGAGCACAGGGGTCTGAGGCTTTTTTTTTTTTTTTAATACAGTTCTTGTCATAATCCTACCTCCTGCTGGTGGCAGCTCCATCCTGCCTCTCTCCAGGCTCCGGTCCCACAACCCCTTTGCTGCCATTTGGTGCCCAACATGACCCACACCTTCCCTGCTCCCTCTGTCCCAGATCCCAAGCAGTACCTCGAGGCTGGGAGTGCAGGGAGGGGTTCAGAGCACTGCGCCCTGCCCAGTCCCACTGCCAGGTTCAATGTGCCGCAGGCCTTCTTTAAAGCATACCTGCCAGGCTAGCTCAGCCTCTCCACTTATACTTCATAAAGTCAAGAGTTTGCCAGCCCTAAGGCTCAGGGTAAGGTTCCCATTACAACAATGTGATTTCCTTCCCAAAATCCATGAAAGATGGAGTTTTGTCTTCATTTAAACTAAAGCTGTCTCCTTGGAGGTTTCTGGGCTGAGCTGCACATTCATATCCCTTGACAACTTTCCACCATCATAACATTATGAAGTTTATTTGCCACTGCACTAAATAATCTGCCTCCTGGTTATCAAGAAATTGGGCAGCAATGATTTAAAGAAGCTGCTGCTGTTTGGCTTCTATGCTGAAAGCCAAGCAGCCACAGTGACAGCCTGGGAAGGTGAATTATCCTTAATAAAGAGCAGAGGGCAAGCAAACATCAGAGCGCAAGGGTCAGGCAAGAGCAGGGGATGGATCAGCAGCAGTTCACACAGATTCTATTTTGGTTTCATCAGCATTGCCCGTGACCCAGACTGAGAGGGATGTTAAAAAGTTCCTTATCTCTCAGAGCTCCTTTTGCAGAACAACAACAGCAGCAGTTCAGGCCAGCCTTGGCAATTTGGATGGGCCATCTGTTCCTGTAGCAGATGCCCACAGCTTCGTGCCTCCCTGCTTAAAGGGAAGCCAGTCCCACAGCCCAGGTGCCCATTCCCAGATCCCCCTACATATGGAAAGCTGGGAGAAAGCTTCCCAGCATGGTGCTCAAGCAGGGAACTGCACAGCAGCCTGAGAGAAGCAGCATGAAACCAGCACAGGGAAAAAGCTCCGATGTGAGGGACACGGCTTAGGCAGGAATGCATCTCCCAGGCTGCGAGTGGGGGAAGCTGCACAGACCTCTCAAAAGCATGGAGCAAAGCCAAGGGAGCCTAAGGCTGTCAGCTACAGACACTGATAATGTGGAGATGGGACTGGACACCTGCAACAGAGGAGCAGAAGGGCATCCTATTGCCTTCAGAAAAAGCACAGGGTGCCACCAGCACCAGGAGAGATGCCAGGAGCCCAGAAGTCAGTCCTGCCCTCCCCAGACTATTCTGGGGCCAAGTGGCTGGCTAGGAACAGCCTGGCAGGGCACGGCTGGCTCCCCATTCCACTGTCCTCTGCCACACTGCAGGTTTCCTACTGCCTGTCTCCTCCATGTGCTGGCAGGATATAGCCAGTGCCTTAACATGAGCAGCTGGAAACCCACTTCTGGCAGGGAGAGCAGCAGCCACTAAGTGCCACAGAGTTGGGTTTCACTGAGCCCCTCTGCCAACCCTGCTCACGGCCCATGGAACAGCCGTGGCTCACCTCAGCCTCTGGGAACCAGAGAGAGCAGCTGATGGCTCAGGAATCTGCCCCCCCCCCAACTGGTACATTAGGACATACTGCCCGTTCAGACTGAACCCACCAGCTCCAGGCTAGTTGTCCCCCCCTTCTCCCAGCAAGCACAGCCAAAAGCAGTGAGGTGCAGGAATGGAGCAGGAGAGGAAAGAAGGGCAGAGCGTGGGGAAAAGCCTCTGTGACCTGATCCGGAATGGCGCTGAAGTCCCTGCAGGTGATGAGCGGGCAGCAGTAGCTGCGGAGCAGTGACAGGCCAGCCCTCCCCGACCAAGTCCTAGTTTGGCGAGCGAGTGCTCCACTGCTCCCTCCGCCTCCTCCCCGCTCTGCAAACCCTGACAGTGCTCATTAAAATAACCAACTGCACTTCCTCTGCGCACAGCCCCAGTCAGGCTCACCCCCAGCAAAGGACACACAAAAAAAAGGGGCCCAGGAAGAAAAGGGATCCCTGGCACCCAGATGCTTGTCCCCTCAGATCTGAAACCCTGGTTTGCCCCTGCAGAACATGCAGTGCTGGGTAAGTATGGGAGCAGGGGGATCCCCTCTGGCACAGGCACTTGGAGGTGACATCCCAAAATGATGTTTCACAACCAAACCCTTTCTGCAAACGTGGCATGGAACAGTTTCCCCCAAAGCCATTCCCTCCCCTTAGGACATCCTTTGTGCAGCCCGAGGACCTGGCAGGAGCCCGTTCCCTTCCCACACTGTGGCAAGGGCTGTGCCATGGCCAAATCACTCCGAGATGCCCACAAGGAAGGAGCCCCAGATCCCAAAGCAGTGAGTGCTGGTGACCAGTTAGGGTGAGTCACGGCGGCCCCGCAGCTGGGACCTCCTCATCCCTTCACACTCTGCCTCCTCCCGGCTGCTTACTCCCTGCATACATGTCATGGCTAAAATTAGAGCCGGAGCTCTTTCTGCGCGCGGGCGTGCGAGCCTGCGTGTGCTTGGACCGTACCCAGCGCTCTTCAGGGACCGGGGAGAAAAGACAGTAAAACGACAATAACAAAACGTCAACAGAGATTGCTGCCAGAGCGGCAAAGGCAGGCAGGGCCAGCCGTCCTCCCGCCGCTGTGCTGCTGCCGATGGGTATCACAGGAAACCATTAATCAGAGGGGAGCCAGGCCTGAGGGCTCTGCCGCAGCTCTGTCACGCAGGTGGAGCACGAGATCTTTGCAAAGTGGTGGGAGAGTTCACATTAACAAATGTCAGCACTGCTGCCGGTTTGTTTTCAGCCCTGCTCTCGTGCTGCTGGCAGCTGGAGACACCCGGGCAGGCGGCAGGAAGTGTCTGCTCGCTGAGACCAGCCTCTGCCCTCTCCCTGCTGTGATCCAGCAGCTCCTGGTACCAGGCTGCTTCCTTCCTCCTCTCTCCCCAGGGCCAGACTCCAGCTCTGCCCTGACCCCACAGTGGCAGCAGGCAGAGGGACAGCTGCCCTCTGGCAGGTACCTGTGCCTCAGCTGACCCAGTAGCTGTGGTGCAAGCTGCAACCAAAGCCCCTGGAGCAGAGTCCTGAGATAGCCCTGCTGAGATCTGCTTGCTGGGGCTTGATAGAGTGTTTTCCCACTGCATTTACCACAGAGGAAACCAAAATCATTATGCAACTAGCTGTCCATCTCGCTGTCAACAAGCACTGAGCTGCTCACAGCCCTAAGCCCAGCTTTCCGTGGGGGAAATCCACCCAAACTCCACAGCAAGCAGCAGCCATGGCCAGGCCCTGCAAGAAAGGAGCAGGGCCAGACAACTGGGGAAAGCTCAGCACTTTGAGAAGCCAGGACTCCACACTGAGCCTGGGGCAGGAAGGCATCTCCTGTCCCCATGTCACGAGCCTCTACTATAGTCCCATGACTAAGCTCCAACTCATGGACCCAAAAGGCACTTGTTGGCTTAACTGTGACCCTGTTGCTGATATCCAGTCCCATCTGTGGTGTGGCATCAGTTTCACCATGGAGCAGTGTTACTCAGCCTTTTTCTCCCTGTTCCATGTACAGATTGAAGTAACTCAGCAATGCTAAACCCATCACTTCTCGGTTTTGCAAAAGGTCAGCTTGTCCCTGTTACAAAAGGTAGGGCAGGAAGAGAAGTTGATTTTTTCCTCCACCCTTTTTGCTGTGATTGCCTTCCGCATGTCTGCCCTCACGTGTTTCCTTTCTTTCTCTCTCCCTCAACCCCAAATCCCCTTGCCATTTGCCTCACACCCTCTAATGGGCACTTGTACAGCAGAGGAGACCCTGGGCGAAATGGCACTGCTGGGGCAGAGTGGACGGCCTTTGGGATGTGGGCTGGCATCTTGCAGGCTGCTAAGTGCAGGGCCACCTTGTTCTGCTCACCCTGTTTCATTGCTCCCAGCAATCCCCAGCACCAGCCTTTCTGCTTCAGAAAGCATGGGTTGCACAACAGGCACTCCCACCATGAGCCATGAGGGGCATGAAGAGCTCCTGCCATGAAGGCCCAGCTGCTGGTCATTGCTCTGCCACCTTTGTCTTCCCAATCTGCACTGGGTGCTCCCCTTGCAGAAAAAAGGACAAAAAATGCAGCAATGGCCCATGAGCAAGGAGACAGGGCCTGCAGAAGGGTCGTCCCACAGTACTCAGACCAAGTAAGCACCACGAAAGAAGCCTTAAGAGCTCTTCCCTCTATAGTAGCCCTCCTTCTGTGTGCAGCACAGAAGAGCAACCATGCCCTCTGGTGTTCAACCCACAGTGCTTTGGGCATCTCCAAACCCCATTAACACCAGTTTGCAGGAGCAAAGCGGCCATACTGGTGCTGCTACCGAACCTCCACCTGCAGGAGTGCAGTGATGCTGTGCCTAAGGGCCGGGAGAGCTGGACACCTTGTGATTAGAGGCAGCAAGCTGGCCAACACGCAGAAAGCTCAAAAGCCAAGAAATGGCAAACAAACCATTAGCAGGCCAATATGTCACGGGCCACAAGGACACAGGAAGCAGGGAAACCTGCCCATCCCCTCACCTCCTTGGGAACACTCATGATCGCCCACCATGGTTAGTTTCAGTGCTGGCCCCCACATAACAACCACATAGCAGCAGACACAGTTACCTCCCAGTCCTGGCTTCCCACCCCAGCTGGCATGCTTAACCCACTGAACTTCAGGCTGCTTGACCACCCAGATAAGCCAACCTCAGGTCATTCAAGCGCTCAGCTACATAGGGCCTGGTGGTACAGCCCTCGTGCACACGACAGCCAGGATATGGAGGAAGAAACCCTCAGCATGCCTTCACTGGACCACCAGCAGGATGGGGCTGTCACATTAGCAGAAGGAAGTCCGGCAGCAAGCTGCCCTCAGGTACAAGGTTAGTGACACACGCAGCAGGCAGCAGCCTGGCTTTCGGTGGCCTTGGTTAGCGCAGGAACAGGAGGGTGACGTGGGGTGAGACGTGGGTGGGAGGGAGGAGAGCTCTCTCTCTGCAGCAGCTGCTGGAACTGCACAGCCTGCGCAAGCCAATAAAAATGCCACGTACTTATACACGGCTGGCCGGTGCCTTATCCTCCGGGATCCCCATCGGCCGGGCTGGCTGCCAAGGAGACAAGGGAGGACACCTTTGTGGGGCAGATGGAGTCTGGGGACACAAAGAGAGTGGTCAGCACGCCCTCCCATTCATGCCTGCAGCCACCCAGCGCGCTGCTGCCCTGGCAACGTCCCTCCTCCCTGCATGCTCTCCCCATGGCCTTGGTGCACAGCCGTGGTGGCAGCACCCATATCACCTCCCCAGCTGCCAGCTGTGGGGTCTCACAGGCACACCTGAGGGAGGGTGCAGTACCCTGCTGGGAAGGAGAGGCCTTGTCCAGCATCATGATCCCGCTGCTGGGACACAAACCCAGCCCAGGCCAGTCACCTCAACCCCAGGGCCAAGACAAACACCACGAGAGCCACTCACAGCCTGCTGCCAGAGAGCTGCTGTGGGCAGTGGGACAGCCAGAGCCCAGGCATTCCCGGCACCCACACTCACCACTTGAGCTTCTGGTACCCCCAAACCTTGAGGGCTGAGGAAGCACAGCTAGGGAACCAGGGCCACATCTGCAGCAGGAGGCAGCTGTGCCTCCCTCCTCCTCCTCCTGCCCTGCACCAGCCAGGCTCCTGGCAGCCTTCGCCCTAGCTGCCAGCCCTGGGCAAGGATTTGAATTTCAAATAAATTATGAAGGCACTTGACAGACCTCAAATGAAGGAGCATTGTTTAAGCAGGGCAGGGCAGAGTGGCCTGCCTGCCCCAAACTAGTGTGCAGGCACCAAGCCCTGCTGGTGGGCACAAGAGGAGCAGTGAGCAGCACTGGCCAAGAGTGGGAGGGTAAGACTTTCTTCAGACCCTATGCCACGGGACGGGTCCCTCTCCTGTGTGCAGTGGCAGGAAGGCACACAGGGCCTTGCCAGCAGATCCGCTGCTTAATCCCGCCATCTGCCAGCCTCCATCGGGAGCAAAATCCCCGCAGAAAACAACCCCGCCACATTTGAGTGTGCCCCACGCGATGTTCCCTTGCACAGTGACCTCAGGTCTGTGCAGTAAGAGGCTTAGTGCTGAATCCTGGCCAGGGCAGGATGGCGAGGCAGGATGGTGAGGCAGGACGAGATACGGATAATCTGATGGAGCGGGAACTTTCACATGGAGGGGCTGCATGTGCCTGCCCTCCGGCCCCAGGGCCTGTCTGTGAGACCAGATCAGGCCCCAGGCAGGTTAAGGTGCTCCTGCCCCATGGTTTCCCATCTTCCCCATGCTGCTGGGGAGCACAGCCCCCACACCTGGCTGCCAACGGCAACTGAGAGATGGGCCACATTGGCACCCACGTTTCCTGTGGGAGACAAGCTGTGCCAAAATGAGGGGAAAACCCTTTGTAACGAGCCTTTTTGTTAGCTTCTCTGACTTCCTGGGACAGAAAACCAGTGGGGCCACGTGACTTTCTGCAAAGCCACAGCGTATTTTGGAGCCTGAGAGTGCTCTTGCCCCACAGAGATGAGCTGCAGCCAGCCTCACCCAGAAAGCATGACCTGCATGCGGGCAGGGCTGAGCAGAAGGCCCAGGCTGACTAGAATGTTGGGGACCAGAGGAGGTTCTCTGGGTTAGCAGGACACACTTGTCATAGTGTGACAAGTAGGACAGAGCTCAGAATTCACTACAAATCAGCCCTCTCAGGCACCAACCCCCCACATTGTGGGCAGAACACTGCTGGATGCAGCACATGCGTCTGACGTGGAGCGGGGGACTCCATCCCCTCTGCCCAGCCTTGTCACATGTGCTGGTGCAGTTTCACCACCTACTTAACATCCTGA